CTTCATATGGAAGATGAATTGCAAGATGTTCCATAGAATCGAAGAATGCTGGGGGAAATATTATTTCTAACTTACAAATTGTTTCAACAATCTTTGCCTCCCACTCCTGCATCTCATTAGGTTTGATGATCGGGGAATAGAGTGAACGAAAGAAGTTACTAATGTTGGTCAAAGGACCCCAAACTGCAGAAGGCAATAAACCATGAAAAGCAATTGGAATTAGCCGTTGCATGAAAACATGACAATCATGACCTTTCATCGCGAATAATCTGAACTCATTCAAGTTGACACATCTTGATATGTTAGAAGCATATCCATCTGGAAAGCGCAACTGTTTCAACCATGCACATATAAGTTTCTTTTTTTCTAAGGTAAGTGCATAGCTGGCATTAGGCTTCACAAGCTTACCATATCTATCATATCTCATTTGCAATTTTTCTCGATCACAATAAAGGGCTAAATCCAATGTTACTTTCTTATTGTCTTTTGTCATATTATCATTCATGATGGTGTGTATTATGTTGTCAAAGAAATTCTTCTCACAGTGCATTACATCAAGATTATGTCTAATAAGATTATCTTGCCAGTAAGGAAGCTCCCAAAAAATGCACTTTTTCACCCAATTGTGGGTGCTTCCAAAACCCTCAATTGTTTGGTTTTCAAAGGGTTTCCCAAACAATACATCAGGAAGGTTTTCAACTCGATGACGCATTGAAACACCATCCAATCGAGGAGGGGGATTGCCAAATTCAACCCGACCTTTCAAAAAATTAATATGATCAAATCTGTAAGGATGAGACTGGGATAAAAATTGACGATGACAGTAAAAAAAAGATGGTTCATGCCCATGTTGAAGATAGAAAGATTGTGTCATCTCCATATAGTAAGGACAAGACAACCGGCCATGTGTGCTCCACCTAGACACCATGCCATAACCCGGAAAATCAGTTATGGTCCACATCAACATAGCACGTATTATGAAGTTTTGCTTACGATAACTATTATATGTTTCCACACCAGTTGACCATAACATTTTCAAGTCTTCAATTAAAGGTTGAAGAAATACATCAATATTTCTACTTGGGCTTTTTGGACCTGCAATGACCAATGTAAGAAATGTAAACTCCGGTCGCATGCACATCTCAAGTGGCAAGTTATAGACAGTCAAAAAAACTGGCCAACAAGAGTAAGGGGTTGAAGAATGAGCCCAAGGGTTAAAACCATTAGTGGCAAGATCTAATCGAACATTACGAGGTTCTCTTTTAAAAGAAGGATGCATGCAATCAAAATGTCTCCAAGCTTCTGATTGTGCTGGATGAATGACTTCATTTGTATCACCACAACATTTCAGATGCCATGTCATGTGCTCAGCTATTTTTCGAGACATGTATAGCCTTTGAAGGCGAGGTATTATTGGCAAGTACCAAAGAGAATTCCTTGGAATGTCCTTTTGTCTTTTCCTTCTTGGATTTCTCTGTTTATACCTCGCTTCTCCACAAATTGGACATGTGGTCAATGTCTTTGTAGACTCCCCATAGTATAAAAAGCAGTTGTTAACACAAGCATCAATTTTTAAATAACCTAACCTCAGTGCTTTCATAAATTTTTTTACTTCATAAAAGTTTGCAGGGACTTTTTCCTGATCTTCAGCACTTAACAATCTCCTACATCCTTCGATGATGGCATTAAAAGCACCAATAGTTATATTATTTACAATCTTAGTGTGCAACATATAAGAGAGCCAACTAAGCACTGTCTCATTTCTATTGGAACTACCAAGCGGTATTGTAGATGCATGAAGCAAGTTATAAAATGCCTTGGCTTGGTTGTTCGGTTCTTCATCCAGATGTTGATTGGGGAAATTGCCTTCCATTTC